AGAAACAAACCCACAACCAGAGCCAGGGGGAAGCCTGAAACAGATTCCCAAGCCTGCCTGGCCATAGCTCTCCAGTCCCCTCATCCTCTCTCCAGTCCCCTCATCCTCTCCTCCACTGCCAGACAGTGCTTGTGGTTCATGTCACAGCCACCCACGCTAAAGGCATCTCATGTCTAGGGCACTAAATGCACCTCTATACATAAACCAGTGACATTAAACCACCACTGAAATTAGCCTGTTTGCTTTGATGTGATATATTAACAACTTTTTGCATTATACAGTGATTTATGTCAGAAATCATGGTCCGGTTCCAAATTCTACCATTTATCAAGCCTAATGCAACTTTAAGGACATTACATAGTATTTGTCTGGGGTTTTTTTTATATCAATCATGGCTCAGCATACTTTCATACAATTTTTTAAATTTTCCTGGTGGGATGTAATTGCCTTTGAAGCTTAAGATTTTGCAGCTTTGGTGGGAAACACACATCTAGCTTTCCACACTCATGTAGGGAATACATACTTTGGAGATAGTGTAATCTGAAATTCTTCCACTGAGAAAGTCAGAATGAAAACTAACGAAACCGCCTGTGAATCTCAGAACTAGGTTTTAAGCGGTGAAAAAGTATTTCCTGTGCTAACACTGCCACCTATTGCCATCCACTAAAAAACAGGAGGGACAGTCGCCACAAATCCCTTGTCTTCAATATTCTGATGTATATTTTCTCTTCACTGCTGTCTTTAATAACATAGTGTTAGAAGGGAAAAAATGCAAATAAACCAAGTGTTACATCAAATATATATCTGTAGAACAGAGGATAAAGTCTCTCCAGAACAAAACCAGTGATGTATAGAAGCCTCCCTGTGAGTGGTAAGGGAGCTAGGAGAGCCCTAGAACAATCTGATCCAGTACATAAGCATAGCATATATAAATATATATATATCACAAAATCACAGACAGAGCCATGACCCAACACCACAGAATTCTCCAATAGCTTGCTTCTTCCCTCCACACTGGGAGACCTGCACCTTTTTATCTGTTATTCTCTCCCTCTTACCTCTTTGCTATTTTCTGTGTGGTTTTTATACCCTTCTCACTCCCTGTCTCACTGATTTTGAGATAAAATCTTACCACATGTCTGCTTTTTCTTGTTAGGACTTCTTCATCTTGTGGTGTTGTGGTGGTTTCCCTTCCACATATCTGTTTCCCTGCCCTGGTCATGAGAAGTTCCCTTATCTGCAATTCTGATTCCACGGCTTCCTCCCTTCATCATCCTTTGACATTTACCATTTCTCAATTTCAGAAGTATTTTTGTCACGAATTATTAGCATTCATATCATGCAATGCCTATTAGTAGTCAAAGATTTAAGCCATGCCATTTTATAACACATTCCCTTGAGCAAAGATTGTATTTTCTTTATTACCCCTAGCACTTCCAATGAGTTACCCCTGCACTTAGAGTAAATGAGCCAAATTCAGTTCAGGAAAACAAGTTGCTTTCTCCTTCCCTGACTCACCTCTTATTGTGCAGTCCCTGCACCTGCTGTCAGCTGCTGGTCAAAGATATTCTTAGTAGTAAAGCCAAGAGAAGGTACATGAAGGATGTAAGAACTTTTTATCAACTTTGCTATTATAAATTAAAATGTTTTTTGGAGATCAACTGTAATACAATATACTTTATGCTCCTTCTCTTCTCCAATCAGCAAAATTCTTTTCTCTCATCAATTAGCAAAAAACCTACTCACGTTTAAGACTAAATTATAAATTTCTTTTTTTTCTTTTCTTCTCCTTATAATTTTGGTTTCTGGAAATTAGAATTAACTGTGCTCTTCTACTGAAAAACAACATATAAATTATGTCTTTCTGTGCTGCATAGACCCTAGGGTTTCATTAAGTGACTGCTACTCCTGTACAACTGGAGATGAAAAACTTACAGAGATGATACAGATGGAAGGGTCATTAACAGAACTAGAGAAATCCATCTGAAAATCTCACTTTAAAGGTTTTATGTAACAGCTCTATCTAACTGGGATGATATTGAGTAACAGGCAGCATGCTGGAAGTCTTCTAATGCTTTGCAAATCCTGGATTTATGGATAGGAGGATAAATCATTATATAGCCTGATGGATGAAGAGTTTAGAGTTCTAGAGTCTGGAGATTTATTAAATATGGATGCTGTTATGGGTTCTTTCAAAATGAAGAAAGACAGTGCTAAGAATGCTAAGAATCAGCTTCAGAAAGGAGCAAGTGAATTCAGCTGTCTCCAGGAGTTCTTGAAAGATTTAAGGAATAAGCATTTTTCAATGAAATATCTTTAGGAAAAAGTGAAAGAGAGTACAAAGGTGTTAAGATATTGTTTGGTTAACTAAAGAGCTGCCCCTAGATAACTAGTTATAACTTCTCATGCACTATTTTTACCTCCTTTCTTTACCTACAACTGTGAACCATTTCATAGGACAAAAGTTTTTGAGCTGTGTAACCAGTATCAGATCTCTCCAGTTACCCAAATTCCCTAGTCTGATGCTCCCTCCGTCCTTTTATGACATGAAGTTGTGGAACTTTCCTGTTCTTACCACAAATCTGACAAATATAAGAGGCCTAGATTGAACTTCTTACACCTTGCTATGTAGCTGGATTCACATACTGGTTCCCTGGGCTATTTAATTTTTCACCTTATTTGCTAATTTTGCTAAATAAACAGTAAAGCAAATTGACCACTAGACTCAAGCAGCATAAAATAAAAAAATCTAAATTACAACAGCACAACTTCTACAACTCCACTGTGGGGTTTCAATGTGTTTGGGAAACCTGTTTGTAAGCAGATGCCTTTGTTCTGATCACAATTTGCAGAATCATTACTGTTTGCAACTGCAGTTCTGCTTAAGATACAAGCAACATTTTTTCCTATGCATCTTGATGTGAAGCTGACCATTCTTGATTGTTTGCATCCTCACATTCATTCCTTACTGCTCTACAGAGATGCATGAGAATTTTTCTATGTAATTTTGTATGCAACATTGTTGGGGCAATGGTGCTTTCAGGACTTGTGGTGAATACCTAAGCACCACATTTGAACACAAATTTTCTAATTACTTGCAGGAATGAACATAAATTGTCCTGGCTATGTCCTATTAGCCCAAGGTCCTAATACCTTACTTGCATTTGCATGCACTCCCCAGTTTATTGTCAAGGGATTAATTTATGACGCAAGATGCTTTTCAGCACAGACACAGGTATCACTGCTTTTGCCTACTTGCAAAATATTATTACATCAGTTCTTCCAATAGCCACAAGCAGACCTTGCTCTAATGCAAAAGGGTAAATATAAATTACATGCAGGATCAGTCATGAAATTAAACAGGTCTTTTCAAATATCTCCCAGAAAGTGTTTATGGAATATTTGAGTAATTGATCTCTGTTTGAAGTGCAGCTTTTGGACATGCTCAAGTCTGGGACCTCAGAGCTACAGGCAGAACCGAGGTTCTATGTCACCCCTTGCAGGGAAAATAACACTGATGGGCTTAGCTGTATAAATCCTTACAAGACAAGTCTGGTCCTGAGTGTGTTACTTTGGTTTGTATACATGTTGCTTCTACTCCTAACTGAAACAATCCAAAATTTTTAGCAGATTTTAGAAAGATTGATTTTCCAATATCTCATTAATAGCCAGTCAATAAGGCATAAAATATTTCAAAATCATTGGAATGAATACATTAAAAATAAGTTAATTCCCTATGAATAGTACTGATTAATCAAAAATGCACCTCCAGCAATCCCTATTATTAAAGGCCACATAATTGAAGAATTTTGTCTTTAGTAGCAGAAGCTAACTGGAGTAAGGCATGATATACAATTTAAAAGACTTCCAGCATAGTATAGATTGTTGTCACAAGTTTGTGCAGTTCTTATAACACCAAAGAGAGCCCGGGTACACAGCAGCTACAGCATTCCTATTTTCCTCTGCTTTTTGACTGGCCAGAAGCAATAAATAAATTGAAAACACTGAACAAAAAGATCTATAGCAGATTTAGAATACAACTGAAAATATTGGCAAGGACTTCTCCCCGTAGCCAGATCCCAAGAACTGCTATTTGCACATGCTTGTATGAGGCTGGGGTTAAAAACTGCAACTTTATCCACTGCTTGCACATTTAGATAAAGCTGCAAATGCAAAGAAACAGACCTGTAGTTTTATGTGTCTGCTTTTGAAGTGGAATTGTTCTGTCCATTATTCCTGCACCCTCACACCTACAAACAGAATTATGAAGAGGTAAAAGGACTGGAGAAACAATGTAAGTAACTGGTTTTTCCTTGCCTCAGGAAAAAACACACTCATGCACAAAGCAATTACTAAAGGATTATTAAACAGAAGCAACCACAGACATTTATATTTCCTTTCTCCTCTACTGGTGAAAATTAAAGGTTTAAGTTTCAAAACAACCTAAGTTACAAAACTAAGGGACACTAAAGGAGTAATGCTTGACAGCAGATTTAACACTAGATTAATACAATTTTACAGTGATTTGTGATGGTCCTGTTCACTTACATTATTTTGTTTTGAATGTATATATTTGATAATAAGTTGGAAACAACAGAATGTGAACACCAAGATAAAGCTACCAAAGGATACACAGGAAAAGAGCAGGACCTCTTTATTAGGCTCAGTGCTTATACTAATATTGAATATAGGAGTACTCATCTTTTTTAGGAATTAAGTATCTATAGGTAGTTATTTTATAATTCACATTTCTTAGGAAAAAAATTGCTTTATATTTCTAGAAATTACAGTATTGATCTGTACAGACAAAGGCTTCTTATTTGAATACTACAAATTTTTGTAAGATTACAAAGAAAATTAAAAATACCAAGAAGCTTTTAGTTTATAGAAATATAACTACAAGCACAAGATGTACATTTCTGACAAATGTAAGGTAGCTCTGCAGTCCACTGGAAACTTGGGAGATTTATGTTCTTCCTTCTATATCAAAGTTCTAGATTTCATTGCCAAATTCCTGTTCGCTGTTTCTGATCACCACCGTGCTCAAAAAACATGAAATCCTAAAACAGAAACAAAAAGCAAACAAATGCTTCCTAAATACAGTTCTTAGTCCAGAAATCTCCTGGTTGATTTGCAAGCTGTTCAAAGTACCTCCATTCCAGAAACCTCAAATGATGAGAAGAAGGCGGGGGCACCTCTCATTTCCCCATCACCTGGGTCTCTTAGAATAGGACACCCACAGAGAGAGGGAAGAGATGGTGAAAGACCTACATGGAAAGTAAATTATCACTAGCCAAAGCTATGCTTCCTTTGCTCAGTATTCCTGCCCTGGCTTTGTTCAGCCTGACTCCATTCCACCAATTTTATCTCAAACTGGAGTCCTTGATAACAGTGACTATCTTAAGTTTACATCTGGGAGGTTATTTTCTGTTACTCACACTCACTACCACTGTGCTTTGTGCATGCGGAAGCACACGAACGCAAATGACTAAGGAAAACCTGGTCCATGCACAGGGCTGTTAGAGGCTGGGTAAAACTTTCCAAACTTAAGGTGCTTCACATGCCTCTTTTCTCTTACTCTGCAGCTCTGCTAGCACAGAAGCAGTGCACATTTTGGAATGGGGCCTGATGCTGAATTGCACAGGGAAGTGCAAACACGAGTTTGTCACACACTGTTTTCAGAGAGCTGCAGGGCAGAGTTTGATATGGCAGAGTCAGAGTACAGATGAGAAACACTGTATCAAGTTAGATGTGCTTTGCCTCCACAGAAGTCCCTCTCACTGAAAATTACTCCTCTGAGAGCATTTAATACTGCTCAACTCAATGCTTCCCACACTTCCAAGAAGGAGAGTTGGGAGGAACTGGCTGCAGCGCTCTGCTGTCCAGTTCACCAATTCAGCAGGCTGTTCAGGCTTTGGGCGGGTCTCCTTGCTATTGCTGATCTGCATTTTCTTATTTCACGATCCACAAAAAACCACTTGCCTCTGCTAACACGTCTTGCTAGAGTCTTCCCATTACAGGGTTTTTCAGTCTTATCACATGTAAAGCTCTCCTTAAATACAGTTAGTACTTCATGTAGTATAGAATAAGCTTATTATCTGAAATAATTCTTTATTGTCCTCCATGGTCAGTTTTACACACAAGGAGGTAACAACAAGCTGTTGTTCTTTTCAATGAGCTCAGAGTCAATTCCTTTACCAGCACAATTTGAACATGGAGATAGAAAAGTCAGTTTGTATTCAAGTATTAATGAATGACAGACTTACAATAAGGAAGCAAGCACCGATCATGACAGCTTTCATTTTTACATCAAGGTCCATTGGGAATTTGACTCCAAAGTTATCTGCATCTGTAAAGGCTTCTTTCACAAACCCAGTCCACTGCTTAGAAATCATTCCAACAGTAGAAGTCTCATCCAGAGACTTCACCTAGTTTTACATAAAATTTAAAAAACAACATCAAATCTGTCATTCACAATATTCTCAAATCTGTCTCACAATAGATCAATTTGAAAGCTTCAGATTGTGTTATTTTAATTAATGCAGTCATTGAATGCAACTGTTTGTACCAAAAGGCAACCCTGACCATCAGAAAGTCAGTCTTAGGGAGAACAAACATGAACTTAATTCCAAACCTGACTGCAGAGTTCAATGCCTTAATGGTGTTGGAAGACAGCTACCACACGCACACACACACGCTCTGCTGGAAGCAGTGTCTTTTAGCCAAGAGAGTGAATTAATTTCTCCTGACATGTACCAGGAACTGCTCCAGTGAAATATTAAGCACATTACCTTCTTTTGCTCCAAAGCAGAGGTTAGCCCTTTGTTAACACTATGTTTCCTAAACGTAGAGCCAGTCTTCAGGGCCATGTGAAAGACTAGTCCACCCAATTGAATATGATAAAACAAATGCTAAATTTGCTTTACCATCTATTTGCAGAATTTTAAATGGTAGACTAGCATACATACTACTTAATGTGTACAAAAATAATAATGCATTAATCACTATTATTTTAAGTGAAAGTTGCAAATCTTTGGACATTCAAATCTGTACTTTAGGTCTAAATTATCTTGATTTACTTGGTCACTGAATGATTATTAAGTTATTAAATGAGTGGTTGCAGGCAATCATTTTAATAAATACCTGATAGAGCTGAGAATAACATTTTTTGTTAGAGTATAATATAACAGATTCAAAAAGATTTTGCTGCTAAACGTTTCAATTAAGAGATCTCTGTGCAACCACAGGGAATCAGTCTCCCTGATGAGCAGCTTTAGGATGTCATTTGGGGAATTTTGCCTGGCTTATCTAGAGCAATCTAGATATTTACAGAAGCAGTTGATTAGAATTAAAATATTATGTACAAATTACTTACAGTACTACAGTTCAGTTGACAGGTAGTAAGGCATGAAACAAACTACTATCAAACTAGTATCTGAAAGAAGATACACACAGTTTTTTTAGCATTGCATACCTCAAAATTAATGTCCTCACAACAGCTGCAAACAACACATGGACCAATAATTTTCAATATATCCTTTCTGTTCTCATCTTGAATGGTAAACTTTGGCAAGCAGATATGCCAGTTCTGGACAACGTAACCAACTGTTGTTCCTGGAGGTGCCTGAACTTCCAGCTTCACAGAAACAAAAAACAAACTCCATGTGAATGTTCATGATTTGATCTGCATGTTAGACAAAATGCACACCAGCACACAAACCAAACACAACTTATCTTTCCACAACAATCTGGCTTTCCAATGCATGGAGATGCATGGGGTTTTCTGCAAACCATTTCAGAAAACTGCACATAAATTGTAGACCTTGTATGCAATTTTTGCATTTTCTGAAAATAGTAAGATACTCCTAAGGCTGTGGAGCACACAAGCCATGCTTTTGTTGTATAAAGATGAAAGTATAGTGAAAGAAAGGCTGTGAGCATCTTGAAAGCATTCAGTGAAAACTTCACAGGATGCAGCTACTACAAATCTCTCACCAAGAGCTCTGAGTAGGTTCAGCCTTGAGGTTTCAGAAGTTGCATCACCCCATAATTGATTTAATATTTTAAAAGCTCATAATCTCATGTCTTGAATTTCACTATAGCTTTCACAGCAGCAAAGTGAAAACTGTTATTTTACAAAAGCTGTTTCCTAACTCTTACATTGCAAAGGCGTCTCCAGCACAGGTTTCAGCACTAGCCAAAAGCTCCCTACATGCTGCTGAATCACATTTTTCACTACTGTATTCAGAAGTAGGCAGGGCAAATCTCTGTGTTGCAGCACACTTGCTTCTTTCCAGACTAAAGACTCCATGCACAAATCCCACAGACCTCTCTCCACACAACTGACAGGCAAAATCTGACTTGCTCCACTTCGTCTCCCGATTCAAGACAACCCCATCTTAAAACTTCACTGGTGGACCATGCCTCACATGAATGAGGATGGTGAGAGGAAGCAACTCACCTCCTGTAAGCAGCAGGGAAAGCAGCATGAAGAGCACCGGAGAGGTCTCTGCAGTGTTATCACCTCATGGCCCATGTTGTCTACAATCCGAAGGTTGAAGGGTCGTGATGGCCCACAGCAATTCCTGGTACAGCAGTCATTGTCCTCTGCTGCAAAGTACACTCTTTGCCCCAGCGTGTTCTTGATTTCATATTTGTTGTTTGTTTCAAAGCCAGTCAAAACTGAAAAATAGGACCAGAACTGTTATATTTCTAAGGTGCATCTGGCCAGAAAAATCACCATACTGACTCTAAAGCTCCTCTTTGGGAAGGCAGGCTGCACTTAAAGTCCGTCAAAGGCAGCTACTGGTGAAGGGAAACAGTGGGGAAGGACCCTTGAGCAGAGCAGGCTGACAGAGAAGTTCAGAGAGGAGAAGCTACCATGATGCCACCATCAATGCAGAAAGAGCAGGGAGTTGTCCACATCAGTCACAGACACCGCTGCCAGAGCAAGCACCACAGCTACGAATAACACAGCATGGGAGATTCCCAGGGAGGAGGTGAAGGAATGAAATTAGAGAAACCTGTGAATTGGGGGGTGAAGCATGAACAGATCTCTAGGGAGAAAATGAGAATCAGAAGGCCACAAAAAAAGTCTCACAGCCAAGATTCACAGCAGCACCAATAGAAAACAAAAGCAATGACTGAAATTTTGACTAATTTCTTCAACAAATGAAAGTACTCTCTGAAACATTATGGAGATAAAATGCAGCAGCATTACGTCCATCAGCCAAGATGGACAGTGCATTTTATTTCTTCTATTTGAAAGACTCTGATGACATGACTTTGACATTCTTAAAGTGGACAGAATGAGGGGAGCAGAAGGAAAGCAGTTCAAGTCAGTAAAACAGCAGGATGTCCTGGAAATGTGATTGGAGCTGCATGCTAATCTATGGAATTAAATGGAACAAGAGAGGAAAGAAAAGAAGATCTTTAAGTAAGGAAGAGAGGCAAGTTGAAATAGTGTGAATGAAGAGCATGGGAGATATGTGACTTCAGCTATAACTAGTTATTATTTTCAGCTTTCTCTTCTCCA